ATCTAGTCCGGGTAGTGTAGGTTATTCACATAGAATACGTCATATAGTCCAGGTAGTGTAGGTTATTAACATAGAATACGTCATCTAGTCCGGGTAGTGTAGGTTATTCACATAGAATACGTCATCTAGTCCGGGTAGTTTAAACTATTAACATAGAATATGTCATATAGTCCAGGTAGTGTAGGTTATTAACATAGAATACGTCATCTAGTCCGGGTAGTGTAGGTTATTCAACATAGAATACGTCATCTAGTCCGGGTAGTGTAGGTTATTCACATAGAATACGTCATCTAGTCCGGGTAGTGTAGGTTATTCACATACAATACGTCATCTAGTCCGGGTAGTGTAGATTATCCCCTATTAAGCCTATTAGGTTTCGCATCCTAACTGTTAAGGATTAAATAAACAAAATACACGCATAAGAAAACGTAAGATTGATAAACGTTACATACATAAGAAAACGTAAGATTCGTAAACGTATGTTTCACGTCATTCATTATTTGTTACAAACAAAATTAGAAGTTGGTAACAAGTCATTATTTTAGTAAGTTGGTGTTTAACAGCCAATAACACTATTTACTTTAAAAGGTATTAACAACTAAATTACTAAACCTTTTGTACAGTTTTTCAGCATCGTCAATAAATTTTAGAGAACGCAGTGTTCTGGCGGCGTTGAGCAGCGCCACCGTGTGGTTAGGATGAATCCGAATAGCTCGCTGATAAAACTCAACTGCTTCGTCTTCACGCCCTAGGAAATAAATTCTTAACATTTTAAAATGTTCGTGTGAACTAGGTGTACTAACTAACAAAAAAAAAATAGGCATAACCTATTCCACTTCTCTTGAAAATGAAATTTCATTAAACTTCAATGATTATAATGCTTAAAATAGTTAGTGATTGATTTCGGAAACTATAAATACACTTATACAGATTGCGTGGAGTTAGAGTTAACCTAACACTTCTAAATTCTAGTCTCATGAGATATTATTGGGATTACGGCCGAAAACGCGTTTAACTACAACGGTACCCAACTGATAATCCAATAATTGTTAATAATTATAGGCTCTAATTCTTGAGTAAATGAATACTTGAATCTGGTTTCTCAAAACGTTTTCTCACCTAAATTCTGAATAAATACTCCGTAATTGTTAAGAGCGTCGACGTTGTCAGGACTTAGGCTTAGTGCCACTAGGTGGAACTTCTCCGCTTCATTCACGTGACCAAAAACAGCGTAGAGGGAAGCTAAAGCCGAATATGCTTCGGCAAATCCTGGATCTATGTGGATAGCTTGTTTTAGGAATGTCTCAGCTGCCTTTCTTTTATCCTGCTTGCTGAAGCAAAACAGAAACAAAATAAATATACATGTATGTTATTTAAACATACAAAGTATGTTATAAGTTAAGCCTACAGGGTATTGAACACTGATTAATTTATGAACAATTAAAACATATTTTTATGCATTAACGATAGGTTAGGTGAACCTCCTGGTGGCTCGGCGGTAATTTTGAGAGCTTATATTTGTTGTTAAAGGGGTGTGTAGTGTAAAAGTTTGATTGTCGTTGTTAAAGGGGTGTGTAGTTAAAAGTTTGACTGTCGTTGTTAAAGGGGTGTGTAGTTAAAAGTTTGACTGTCGTTGTTAAAGGGGTGCGTAGTGTAAAAGTTTGATTGTCGTTGTTAAAGGGGTGTGTAGTTAAAAGTTTGACTGTCGTTGTTAAAGGGGTGTGTTGTGTAAAAGTTTGATTGTCGTTGTTAAAGGGGTGTGTAGTTAAAAGTTTGACTGTCGTTGTTAAAGGGGTGTGTTGTGTAAAAGTTTGATTGTCGTTGTTAAAGGGGTGTGTAGTTAAAAGTTTGACTGTCGTTGTTAAAGGGGTGTGTT